CTCAGAGGACAGGGCATGATGAAGCTTTTTCTGCCACATCTGGAGTTTGAAGAGCCTGAAAGCCCAGAGAAGGCGTGGTCCTTAGCTCTTCCCCCTACCCATGCCCTTGTGTTCTGCCCCGAGTTTGGACTTTAAAGTCACCGGTAGGATTGCCCAGTAGGAAGAACCCTGGAAGTGGAGTAGAGGAACCAGGTTTCAGTTTTCTCCCTCTGCTACTATTTTATGTGTCTGTAGACAAGTCCTCCCCCCTTTCCTAGGCCTCAGTTTCCTTTTCTATAAAATGATGTACTAAGGCTACGCTGATAGTTACATGCATATTAAAATTTCCTGAGGTGTTTTGAGAAACTACAGATGTGTGGGCCCCACCCACAAGGATTCTGACTTAGTTGGTCTGGAGTGTAATGTGGGCTGAACAAGAGCATTTTTAAAAGACTCTCTGAGTGATTCTAATATGCAGCCAGAGTTGAAAAACTAGAGCAAAAGATCTCCAACCCTCTGGCCCTGAGTCTTGGCTCAGTGGGTCTCTCAACTGACTATTATCTGGTTCTAAGAAATTTCCTTTTCTCTGCATGCCTCAGCTCCAGCAAGCACCTCAGGTCTCCTAACCTGGCTCTTCCCTGTCATTGTGGATGAGTGCCCAGCTCCCCTGTGCCTGTGCAAACAAGCCAGTCCCCTCTGGCTTAGTCCTAACACTGATGAGACAAGGCAAGCTACTTAGACCTGTCTAGGGAAGAAGGCTGCAGAGACTAAGGCAGGCTTGCTGCCCAGGTGGTAGCATTGAGAGCCAGACTTTTCACCTGAGAAGAATCCCAGGCCACCCCTGAAGCAGGTGGGCCAGCAATGGTCTCAGCTGGCTCTGTGTGGGACCAAGGAATTGAATTACCTCTCAGCCCCTTGTTGCTCTTCTTTCTCCATTCCCCTCATTAGCTCCTTGCCTGTTCCTGCCTCACCACCCACAAGCCTGGTGTCCTCCTCAGGCAATCTGCTGGCCCACTTGTTGTCATGGTGACTCTGGCTGAGAGTGTGGGGCTTGAGGGAGGGTCATCTAATTAAGGAGAAAGGTCTCACTCTCAAGGTCAAGCCACCCCTCTCCTCCTGCCTTCCTCTCACCCTCCTGGACTTCTTTCCTCTTTCCCAGAGCAATGAGAGGAATGCCCAGCCACCACAGCCTCTCATTAGGCTAATTGCAGTTGCCTGAGAGGAGAGCTGGAACCCCAATGGAGACTCCTCACCTAGGAACAGAAATGTTGAACTGGAAGAGCTGAGGGAGAATCCCTTAGGGGTCTCTGAAACCCACTGGTGAAAGAGGGGGTTATTCCACATAGTTTGGGGTGAGGCTTGAGGTGGACTTTGAGTCTAGGCTGTAGAGATTGTGGCAGAGGCTATGGACACAGCTTCATCTTGGCTCTCTGGGGTCCGAAAGAGGGCAGGAGTCTCTGAGGCCCGGGGGCCTTTATCTCTAGGGGCTTCCTTTTCTTTCCTGCCTTATTTTTATTTCTTTCTCCTACCCTCCTGCTCTCATATCTCTCTTTTTTACCCCTGCTTTCTTGCACTCCTACCTTCCACACCCACCTTTCTTCCCCTGCTCACTCTTACTCTCATATTTCCTACTCTCCCTTTCTTGGCCCTCATCTTCACAGCCCCTCTCTTACCCCCACCCTTCTGCCCCCTGCTCTTTCTTACCTTTATCTTCTTTTACCCTCACCACACCTGTTTATTTCCCTTACACCTTCCGTCTCTTATTCCCCACCCTTTCTTCTTAACCCTGCTTTTTCCTACCCCCATTATCACCACCACTTCTTACCCTCCAACTCCCTACTCTTTCCTATTGTCTGTTTCTTATACATCTCCTCCCTTGTACCCCCTTACCTCACTGCCACTCTCTCTGACCCCTTGGCTCTGTCTCTGACCCTTCCAGCTCTCTCTTACCCTGCCTCTTACCTTCACTGTTCTTTCTGACTCTCTTCTCATTTCCTTCTCATTCTTTTGTAGATATCTTTTATTCCAATAATTTCACTTTTAGTTCATATAAATAAAATGTAACACAGGTATGCAAGAGATAAGTGTACAACGATATTCACTGAAGCATTGTTTAGAATAGTGAAATTCTGGCAATAACTTAAATGTCCATCCACAGGAGATTGGTACCATTTCCACTCCATTCATACAAAATCGTTCTCTGTTCTTTTAGAACACCTTGTATTCAGTCACCTCCATAGCTTTCTTGGAGCTGTTGCCTCTGCCTGAAATCCCCTTTTGTCTCATCTCTACCCAGCTGTCTAAAATCCTACTAAGTCCTTGCTCAGCTATTACCCCCTTGCTGAAATCTTTTTCTTCCTTTTTTTCTTTTTTTTTCTTTCTTTATTTTTTCTTTTTTAATACTTTTAATTTTTTTTTGAATTTTTAAAAATTTTTCCCCCTTGCTGAAATCTTTCCCTTTTCTATTTGCTTCCCTCCAATGGCCAGTTATTTAGCCTCTTTTATAGCATGGATCATATGCCAGAGATTCAAGTTAGATGTGTCTACCCATGAAACTAGATTTTCTCTGAGAGTAGGGACCTGTCCTTATTTACTTGTCCAGCTCATTCAATCAACAGACATTTTTTACATATATTGTGTTGAGTACACAATGGTCAATAAGACAAGCCCATGTCTGTTTTCATGCATCTCACATTTTTGTAAGATTGACAGAGAAAAACAAAACAAGGATGCAGCCAAAGTCATACTTGTGGTGAACAGTTAAGAAAAAAAGAGAAGGATGATGGGGCGTCCTCTAGCTAGACTGGTCAGGGAGACCCCCTCTGAGGAGGTGATATTTGAACTGAGGCCTGAAAGATAAGAAGGACCTAGCTATGCCAAAGCAAGGGGAAGAGCATTCCAGGTTAAGACAACAGTATGTGCCAAAGCCCTGAGTTGGGAAGAAGTGGGTAATGTTCAAGAAAAAGAAAGAAAACCTCTGCATGTGGAACATGATGAGCTTGAAGGGAGAGGTAGAAAATGAGACTGGAGAGACAGACGGGGACAAGTTATGCAGGGGTTTGAGGTCTGTGGCTTAAGGTTTGGATTTTATTCTAAATGCTTTGAAGAGTTTGAAGCAAGGGAATAACATGATGTGATGTCACATTTTGAGATTGCTCTTACTCCTGTGTGAACAGTGGATTGGACAGACCAAGAGTGGATGCAGGAAGGCCAGAAAGGAAACTGGTGACAAATGACAGTGGCCTGAATAAAGCTGTGAAAGTGAATGGACTTCGTGTGAGGATGCAGGGAAAGAGAGGAATGTAGCCTTACACCTAGGTCTCCAGCTTGGATACCCAGGTGGATGGTGGTAGCACTTACCTGAAATGGCCAAGACTTGGGGGTGAGAGCAAGATTTAGAGTAAAAATAAGTTGAGAACTTTATTTTAAGATTTAGAGCATGTTAAATTTCAGATGCCAGTGAGATATCAAAGTCCCAAGCAATGCTTTGTTCCTTATGTGGTTGATTTGCACCATATCCCACTACTACCCATCACTGATGGCTATGGAAAAGGCCAATGTGAAATTACATTGCCAGAGTCTATGTTCACAGTGGAGTTATTTGTATTTTAGAGTAAATGTTTGAAGTTGGTGTAAAAAGCTGACCATGTTTTTCAGAGTGTGGGTGAAAGGACTTTGGCAGCAGAATGATCTGGACCCTTGTCAAAATGCAGATCCCTGAGCCCACCTCAATCCTTTTGAAGGTGAATTGGATGGGCCAGCTGTATATTTAACAGGTGCTCTAGGGGATTCTGAGGCACACTGAAATCTGGGAACCATTGCTGTGATGAGCAACTATGAGAAGGTGCCTCTGAAGAGATGAAGACTGGGTGTGGGCAGTGCTCTAACCTCAAGTGTGAGTTACAGATGCTGACTTGGGTCTGGGGCAGGGCCTGGGCTTTTGTACTTCTCACAAGCTTCTAGGTGGGTGATAGTATTGCTGCAGGCCTGGGTCCATACTTTCTGTAGCAAGGAGCTAGATTAGTGGTTGTCAATGGGAGATAATTTGACACCCCCCCAGGGGACATTTGACAATAGCTAGAGACATTTTTTTCTTGTTACAATTGGAGGGGGCTACAACTGGCAACTGGTAGGTAGAGGCAAAGGATGCTGCTCAATATCCTACAGTGCACTGAACAGGCCTTACTACAAAGAATTATCCAGGCTAAAATATCAGTAGTGTCACTGTTGAGAAAACCTAGGCTTGATGATAATAAAAGAGTATAGAGCAGGGAACCTTTCTTAGCTAGGACCCAGCACCTGATAAGAGTGGGCTAGATAAGGGACAGAAAATATACCCATGAAATGAAACGGCAAAGCAGAGTTTCCAAATGAAGTATGGTGTCTGCCCCCCACCAGGGTTGAGCATGGATTAAGTAAAGCTTGAAGGTACATGTGGTATCTGGTAAAGCAGATTCCTGTTTTTATTCAAAATAACCCCTCACATTTATATTGCACTTTAGAGTTTACCAGACATTTTCATGTGTCATATTATTTGATCCACACAACAACTTAATGAGGTAAAGCAAGGATTATTCTCTCTTTCTTGAATTTAGAAAGTTACCATCATCAGCCAAATGAATGTTTGCTGAATTGAATAGAACTGAAATTGACCCTGTTATAGGTGACCTCAGACAAGTCAGGACACTTCTTTGGGCCAACTGTAAAATGGTAGGGTTGGATGGGATGATTGGTAAGGCCCTTTCCAGTTCAGACATAGGAGTAATTTTGTGACTCTACCAATGAACAAATTCTAAGTCTTAGATGATTGCAGACTCAGGAACTCAGGAGTCCTGGCTATGAGTCCTACCTTAGGGTAGGATGTACCGGTCTTGACCCAAACCCTTCTTCTCTTGGATCCTGTAGTTGGGTTGGTGAGCACATACCCCATCCCATAGAGTACAAGTACACCCTCCTCATCCTTTTTTTCTGAGGTGGGAAGGGGCTGATGCCTGGGCTGATGCTCTGTCCTTTCCCCACAGGCTGTCTACAAGGCCTGGCTGTGCTCAGAATACTTCAGCGTGACCCAACAAGAATGCCAGCGCTGGGTGCCCTGCAAGCAGTACTGCCTGGAGGTGCAGACCCGGTGTCCCTTTATACTCCCCGACAATGAGGAAATGGTGTACGGAGGGCTCCCTGGCTTTATCTGTACAGGTAAAGGCAGGGCACTGGGGAGGAGGGAGGAGGCCGGGGCCCAGGGCAGGCACCAGGCCTGGGATGTGGTAGCAGGGAGGACAATAGGGAAGTCAGGTTAGAAGAAGTTTAGTAGCTGGAGGAGCAGGCAGGCAATGAGGTCCCCAGATTGGGATAAGGGCAAGTGGAATAGGGGCAGAGAGCAGAGTGGCCCTCTCGCTGTCCAAGACATGCCTATCCAGGGAGTCATCCCAGAGAAAGCATCTGGAGCCCCTGAGAGAACAGTCCAGAAAAAGAAGGTGGCAAGGGGCAGGGGGAAAGGAGTCTTGGGCACGGCTACCCAAGCAGTCAGTCTCAGCTTTGAAAAGCTCATCTTTAGGAAAGGCCTAGGCCTCAGCCCCCTGAGCACCCCACCACACCTTCCTTATCCATTGGCAGGGTTGCTGGATACTTCGCCAAAGCGGCCGGAAAGCAAGTGCTGTGACGTGCAGTGGGTCTCCTGTGAGTCGGAGAAGAAGAAGTTCAAGGAGTCTGAGTCCCCCAAAACCCACCACCAGCAATTCCACCATTCCTATTTCCACCACTACCACCAACAGTTCCGCCACTACCACCCCCGCCATGACCTCCCAGGCCGTATCAGCCACAAGCCCTCCCTGCTGCCGGTCTCTGGGGGCTCCCGCCTCAGCCCCAGCAGGATCCGGCTCTATGTCCTTGTTCTCATGCTCCTCCATACCATGGTGTCCATCTCCAGCAACCAGAGTGGTGGGGGACTGGGGCTGGAGGCACTGCCTGCCCTAGATGAGGGCTTAACTCGGGAAGAGTGACAGCAGGGAAGGAAGACAGACCTCCACCACGCAATGACATCAGTTCCAGCTCCCCCAGGGGCAGGGGAAAGGGGGCTCCTCACATGGGAGATACAGAACCAAGTGGGGGGTGGGGGGAATGAGGGACTACACATGGTCCCCAACCTATTCCCACCCAAGAAGCAGCTCTAACAGAACAGCCAGAAGGTCCCATGGAGCTGCAAAACTCATTCAAGAGAAAAAGGCAGGAGCAGCAGGTGCCCCCTCCTAAGCCCCACCTATGGGGCTTAGCAAACAAAAAAGGGGAAGAGTGGGGGCTAGCATTGCCCACTCTTGCCAAGAGCCCTGACTCTAAAGAAGGAGGCTGGTTGCCCAGCCTTGGCCCTGCAGGGAATGTTGGGGGGCCCAGAGGGGAGAAGTTCTTTCCCCTTCCGCATTCCTTTTGTTGCCAAGATCCTTAATTCCCTTCTGCCCATACCCCTATAGGCAATGGCAGACGGTGCAGTGGCCCTTCTCCAGCGCACCTTGGCCTGCATGTGCCCACCACAGGGAAGTGCCAGGCTGGGAGGTGAGGTGTGCATAGTCACAGCTGGGTCAGGATCCCAGTGAAACTGTGCCCTACTACCCTATGCAGTGAGGGAATGGGGTGCAGAATGAGTGGTGAGAGAGTGGAGATAGAGAAGAGTTGTAGTCAGAGGGCGTAGCAAGATGGCTAAATGGGTTATTGCTACCAGACTTTGGGGAGGTGTATGATCAGTGTTGAGGTAAGCTCAAGGACAGTGCCCCAAATCAAAAAAGGTTGTATAAGGAGTTTTCTGGGAAAGAGTACAGGAACTGGGTTGCTGGACCTCAAAACAGAAGGCTGAGGGCACATGATCCGACTGCCATTCTCTGAAGGGCCATATCTTACAGAAGGTGCACATACTCCCAAGGGCCGCTCTTGCCCTAGAGATCTTGGCCTTGGGGTCAAAACTCTTTCCATTTCTGATCTCCATGGGGAGGAGGGACTTAAGCCCAAATGGGTCAGGTCTGGCCTGGGTCCCCATACTCCCCCATTTTGTTGTAACCCAGGCCTCCATGAAGGAGAACCTGGTGGCATTGCCCCAGGGCTTTCCAGAGATGAGCCCCCCTCATCCCCACCTTGTCCCCATCCCCAGCCTACCAAAGAGTATTCATCCCTTCCCATCCGTGACCTCATGGATTACTCTTCCAATAGTGCAACAGACTCTTCCTCACCCTGAGGCGGGTCCCTTGCCCCTTGCTGGAGAACATCCAGAAACTGGCAAAAAGGACCCACTGAATAAAGAGAATGTGCTGTCATCTGTTGACTGACAAACTTGAACTATTTAGCCAGGTTAGAGGGTTTAGTGAGAGAAGAGGCACTGAGAGTCCTTTGGGGGCCATGAGCCTTGTGCTTATCTCTTGGGAGTGGGAGGTCACATTGCCTGGGACATCTCAAAGCCAATAAGGAGCCAGAACTGTTCTGGGACAGGCCAAGGGGCTTTGGTGCCAGAAGAGCCTGTGTCCTAGGATGTGATGTTAGTGAGTTAAGGGGAGGAATAGGCCTGGAGCCACATTAGGTAAAACCAAGAAGGGGATCAGGAGGGGACAGCTGAAATTGGTTGGCTGGGGGATAAATGGGAGACTTCCATTGTAGAGAGGGAATCGTTTAAGGGCCTCAGCTGTGTCCCAAATAGGCTTCAGAAGACTGGGGAGTCTTTCCCTACCAGTTTTCTCCTTTCTCTCAGTGTGCCCCCTTCCCCCATCCATGTGCCCTGACCACACACTCCCCTGTTTGGCCCTCAGCACTTTGGGCCTAGCCACATACCCTATCCCTAGAGTGCTCTTTTCAGCTGGGGAAGGAAAGAGGTGCTGGCTCCTTTCCAGAGATGCTTATGTAGACATGAGAGACCCTAGGTACTGCCTTTTAACTCCTGCATCCTCAGGAGGGGAAAAGGGGACTGGGAAGTAAAAGGGGACCTTAGGGCCCTAGGGAATGGACCCTTGGAGACTCCCATCCTCTCTTCCCCCTCACCAAGTGCCCAGGAGACCCCTGGTTCAGACCAGCCCAGGGCCTTGCCCGGTGGCAGGGGAAAGGGGCACCTCACTCCACCTCAAAGTCATTTGACTGTCCGTATCCACCCCACCACCCAGATCTTACACCACCCCTCAAGCTGCTCTGCCCTCCGTCATAGGCAGTGGAGCTGGGCAGCTTTCTTATGCCATTTTCTACACTGTGCTTCATGAGTAGGGCTTTCTTGCACTAGTTTCTATGACTGAGTCTCCAAGCTGGATTCCTAGTAGTCCCCTGCCCCTTCCTCCCTCACCTGGCTATGATTCAGTTGTCCCCCTTCCCCTGCCTCTGTGTTTCAGTGAGAGTCTCTGTGTACTGCTTTCTGTTTTGTTGCATTGTGGGGCAGAGGCCTCTCTGCTCTTGTTTAATCCCATAAAGAAATAAATGGTAAGACTTGATGATAACCTTCCCTTCATGGTTGTGTTCTGTGGAGTCAAGTGCTACCAGAGGAAAAAGTCTATGGCTTGGGGAGGAGGTGGGACCAGAGGATGCTGACCCTGTGCTTGGCCCCTTGATGGCTCAAGTGTCGGGAGAATAAAAGGGAAACTCTATAGTAGGGTCATTTTAGACAAGGAATCAAACTCAACCTCCTGTGGGGATCAGGCAGGTAAGTGTGAGTGAGTGAGTGAGTGAGTGAGTGAGTGAGTGAGTGAGTGAGTGAGTGACGTGGCCCAGGCAGGGGTGAAGTACAGACTGCAGCATTGTGAGTGATGAGGAATATAGGGCACTGCAGGCCACAGGGGAAGCTCAAGCCCAAGGTTGTCTTTGGGAATATGAGCCCAATGTTGCGAGATTTTCTCATTCTTTAGGGGAAGTCAGGACTCAGGTTTTACGGGAAGCCCTCTAATTTCCAAATGTTGGTTCAGAGTCAAAAACAAACAAACCTCTGTGTGACTTAACATGTCCCCAGGCCTCACATAGCCTGGGGGTGACCAGTTTTGCACATTTGTTGCAGCCTTTGGTTCTTGTCTACCAGCCTCATCTCTTACACTGCTGCACCAGGTCCATCTTCCCACCACAGGAGTGAAAGGCACTCAGGAGGAACTGCTGGAAGAATCGCAGGCAGAACCTTCCACAACTACCACCTCTTCACATAAACAGGAAAGGGAAACTGGTGTCTTCACTGAACTGCTGAATTCCTTTGCCAAGAAAACACAAGTCCCCCAGCTCCTCTGAAGTCAACATAGCATGGAGGCTAGGGACTGGTCTCCACAACCAGTGTATGAGTTCAAGTCTAGTACCACCATCTCCTACTTATATGACTTTGCACAAGTTCCTTGACTTCTTTTAACCTTAATGTCATCCATCAAAAGGGTTATTGTGAGAATTAGATGATGTACACAAAACAGTTTGCACAACTGTTGGTTATTCAAATACTGATGGTTATTATTATCATAATAGTATGTCTTCTCTTTCCTTCACCTCTACCTAAAATGATCACCAAGTTCTGTGAATTCTACCTTTGTAATATGTGTCAAATCCTCTTTTCCACCCCCACTCCCACTCAGCCACTTCAGGCTCTCAGGGGCTCTTGCCTGGACTATTGCAATGGCTTACCAAGTAATCTCTTGTTCAATTACTCCAGCTCCAATCCACATTCCCTAGCACAGTGCACTTAGGCTCTTAGGAGACGCTCCATAAAAACTTTGTTGAAAGAACTGCTGCCATAAAGTATACATCTCATCTTCCTGAAGCAAACACATTACTCCCGTGATCAAGAACATCAGATAGCTCCACATCGCCTGTAGAATCAAGTGTAAACTTCTTAGAGTGACTTTCAAAGCTCTTTGTATTCTGATCCTAACCTTCCAGTCAGATCTTCCACCACAGGCTATCACACTCGTGTGTGTGTCCCAGCCACATTTCACTGCTGGTCATTCACTGAATGAGCTCTGCACCTTCTTGTCTGACCTTTGCTCACATTGTTTCTTCTGTCCAAAATACCCTCTCTCCATCTCTGCCTATCACTGCCTTACCCCGTTTTCAAAGTGCAGCTCAAATGCCCCCTCTGCTATGAAGACTTCCACATTCCCCCTTTCCCAAGCTGAAAACAATCTCGTCCTCTTCTGTACTTCTATAACACTTTGTGCCCTAATCGTGGTACTTATTACATCCTACCTTTATTCAACTTAAGTCATTCATTCATTTAAAATATACCTATTGAGCAATTACTGTATGTGAAGCACTGTGCTGGGTGCTTGGAATACAGCAGTAAAAGACACACATTATGGATCCACAAGATAACATGATGTTATATGTTGGACAACTATGATATGCTTACTATAGCATTGAAGTTTTTATCTCACCAAATGCCCATGAGGAGAGCTAGGCTCTCTTGGTCTTGGGCATAGGAAAGAGATCTAAGGGATTGAAGGAGGCTGCACACCCATGGTGCTAAGGCAGTAAAGGGTACAATGGTTGGCTGTGCCAAAGGAGTAGCCTTACCAGCCACACGTTGTCCTTTGACCCTTGCAGCCACCCCTCTGAGCAACCCCTTCAAACCAGGCCAAGGCTGTGGTTCAGTTCTCCCTTCAGTTCAGTCCAACTGCAGACAGCCTCAGTGTCTCCCAGCCTCAGCATTGCAAGGAGGGGCAGCAGCAGTAGCTCACAACCCTACAATTGCAAACAGAGTCACCTGGAGAGTTTTCACTCTGGCCCCAGCAGCAGGGATTTGGATGTAATTAGTCTGGGTTGGAGTCCCGCTTCATTATTGTTTAACAAACTCCACAGTGATTCTAATGTGCAGCCAGGCTTGCCAATCATGGGATGAAGAGAAGGCCGGAACTACATGAAGTTCTTGTTATTTGAGGTTCTTGTTATTTGTTAGCAGGTTCTAGAAAAAAGCCCCTTGCCATGAATCCATTTGAAGTGGAGACTGACATTTCACAACAGAGTGGGGGAAAATAGAGGAAAGGATTTGATTGGGACTTTGCCTTGAGAAATAAAATTGAAAATGTGGAAAATATTTTTGTTTAAGTTTAAAATGTGTAAATTATTGCAAATATGCA